ATGGTACACAAATTAGTTTGCAAACAAGTTTATATAATCCAGGGTTTACCTTCTCAGAGAAGGGCCAGGCAGTGAGGGTGGGAGATCAGACAGGCAGGGTCCAGCCTGAACCTCCCTTATCTGCCTGTCTCTTCACACCTCTGCGTACCCTTCAAAGCACCTGTTGATACCCGAAGGTGCTGCAGCTCGCTGGTTGGGAAACACTGTTCTAGGGCAGTGATTTTCAACCTTTTTTATTCACAGACCCCTAAAACAATTCAAATGGAGGCATGGACCTCTTTGGAAATCTATCACTCATTCTCATTGTCCATTATAGGAAAGTACTAGCAAAACTGGTTTGAGTGCCAGCAAGTGTTTCTCGATTTCATTTTTCACATCACTGTCTAGCGTCAACTCATTTTCAGCCAAAAAGCTGTAAAGGGTTTCAGATGTGTCAAAGTTGTTTCCTCTTACATGAGAAACCCCAAGTTGAAACTTCTTGATAAAAGCCATCAGTCCCCTGCATATTACAGGGCTTCTCCCAGATTGCCAGGTCAAACCCTCACACATTCACATGTATTGGGTGTGCTGTGATGATGAGAAGTTGGGACACAGCCTGAGCTAGCAGATACTTGCGTATACTACCAGACTTCTGCTTGTGTCCACCCATCAGTTTTGTAGGACCTAGCCTTTCACTAAAAATACTTTCAGTTCTTATTGTTCTAGATAAAAGCTTTCCATAAATGCCTCCAGGCACTAATTTTCCCAGTGGAAATTCTATCCAGACTGGTTTGCTCATGCTCTCTCCCTCACCCCCAGCCCTCACTCCTGCTGTTCCAGTTTATAGATTGATCTTGCTGGGTGAGTGGAGGGGCTGTAGCATTGCTGGGTCCCATGTGAGGTAGAAGGATGAGGTGGGGCTGCGCGCTGCGCTCTGCCTGCTGGGCTGCCTGCCCCTGGTGCTTGGCCAGCTTCTGTGCATGGGGAGAACATGGGGAGGTGTCTCCTACAGAGCAGTGACTGAGAACTGAATGTCTGAGAAGATGCATATTATTTGCAGGTTAGTTACTGTGCAATAAGTAAGAGACAATCCCGGTGCTGGAGTTTTGTTTCTGTATTTGCCTGAAGTCGTAAAAAAAGTTTCAAAAACCCGATGAGTCCATGTTCCCCGCGCCAGGCTGGGCCGGAGGGACAAGACAGGCCTGGAGGTGTCAGTGGTGGCAGGGAGCAGCGGGGTTTAGTTCACGGCCGGCGACAGCAGTGGGAAGAGCCGGACTTGCAGCCGCCTCCAGCCCCTGGGAGCCGCGTTAAAAGCGCGCCTAAGCCGGGGCCGGGGGCGCCGGGAGCGACTCGGGGAGGCAAGAGGCTGAGCCGGCCGTGGGGGCG